TCGAGAAAGCAAAACCACGGCTAAAGGAACTTACTAAATTAGCATCAAATATTGAACATATCAAAATCCCGGAATTATTCGATCATAAATGCTATGTGGTGGGTTAATTAAGATGCAAAATTTTCAAGAACAATTCATAAATGTTAAAGTTTTATTAAATCAATCATCATATATACCGACAATTTTATAAATTCCACTGAAAAATATGTCTTCGACTCTTAGTAACGTTGAAAATTAATGAGCACTTAATTAGATCTGTAAAAAAAAGACATAATGTGTTTTTTGTAGATATAGAAACATTTACTTAATTCAAAGATATTTATTTGTTTTATCATAATTTGTCATTATTTTTGGAGTTAAAAGATCTGTCGAAAATAAAATGCATTACAAATTTGACTTTTTTTTTCAGAAACTGAATGAAATTGCTCTTGCATTATTGAAAATTGCGCCTTACGATTTAAGCACAATAGCTTGCCTTGGATTGCAAAAGTAATTTTATTCATTTATATCAATCTCTTTTGTATCGCATGTCTTTCTGTTTTTTTTCTCGAAATATTTTTATAATTTTTGCACTAAGCTTAAAATTCATTAAATTCATTTTATGAATTTTGTTTTCGAAATAGCAATTTTAAAATTTTAACAGATACTTCTCTGTGATTCTATTAATAACTGATTGGTCGGTGGAAAGTAATCGACCAACTTTAAATTTTGTTTTGCGACGTTTGGATAAGACAATTCAAAAGATTGGCAAAAAATTTGTCTTTCGACGGCGAACAAACTGGACTGCATTAACAAATTGGCTTAATGGTTTACACCAAACGCTTGTTGCTTATCCTTATATTGCTCATTCACATCCATTAAAAGTATCCTATTACTTAAATATTTTAATTAAATTAAAAAAAATTCTTTTGCTACTTGATAAGTAAAACTTTAATATCGCACTTTTTTAAATGTATAAGAAAAGAAAAAAAAAAACAAATAAACGAATAATTAATCATTTGATTGTTAATTTATTATATTCGTTTTTCATTTTCAGTCCATAACATTGATGTGTTTACGAATAATGATCGGTGATCCATTAAATGATGATCTTTTCACTCAATCCAATGCTGTTTTCTCGACTGTATTGCATGGTACTTCTCCTCCACAACCATATTGTAATGCAGTTCTTAAACTTGCTTCTTTTTTAATGCAAGCACTTGGTCAGGTACAAAATTTGCATAATAAATTTTTCAACTTTTAATTTTCTTTTTTAAAATTATAATTATAGTAAATTACAGTTTATTTAGGCAACATTTTCATTGGAATATTTATGTAGTAGTGAAGGAATTGGACCAATAGCTGAACGATTAGAAGTTGTATTGTGTCATGTTTTAATTCCATTATTTCTTCAAGCTGCAGTTGCTAAAAATGGTTTCATTTCAGTTATTACTTTAATTTCGGATTGTAATTTATTACATTTTTAAAGTAGAATTTGTATTTAAAATGTTTAGTCATTCGATTACATCATGAAAAATGCTATCATTCATACAAAATAGATGGAAATAAATTGAGAGGAGTAAATTTATATGTATTTCTTTTCTACAACAGTAATACTTTATGGCAGTAATTATACATTATACACCAATAAATAGATGCAACTATTACATATTTAATTAACTGACTAATAAGATCATTTATATGTGATTATAAGTAATTTTTACTTTCTATTTATTTTAAGCTTTTTCGATTACTTTTATTGCAGATAAACCACAATTTCAAACGAAAGACTTAATATTTTGCTTAAATTTAATGCAAAATGCTATTAATCCTCCATTGGCACGACAAAGTGTCGCACCAATAATGAGTTCAAATTTAGCATCCACTTTAATACGAGGAACCAATGCGCATGGTAAAATGTTTCTTTTTTTTTTTTTTTTTCCTTTTTTATAAATATAATATTTCACAAAAAATTCAAATTGAAAACTTTTCAATTTTCTATTTTAACAATTGGGATTTCTCGAGTAACTGAAGATTCTACATTGAAAAGTTTTTTTTTTTTTTTCTTCTAGGCTCAACAATTATTGATGTTTCTGGACGACAGGGTTCAGTATCCGTAACAGAACGTGGACATTCTGCTACTGTAACAACGCATCGTATTATTCGTGAAACAGTTTGTCAAGCTATATTTTTGGGTATATTTTTCCTGCAATTAAAATAAAAAAGAATGAAATGTACCAATCATCTTTTCTTGATTTTTCAAATTAAATTTATTTTTTTTCTTTAGCTCTCAAAGTGATGATAATAGCATTCGAGAAGCAGTTAACATTACTTTGGCCACGGATGTTTAAAGTAATCCGTGAATTGCTTGGCAAAAAAATTGGTGGCACTGCATTATATTCATTTATTGATTTTATGATCGATATCAACTTGCCAATATCACTAATCATTCTACCATTCCTGCAAAGCAAAGTACTTTAATTGTTTCATTAAAGTAATTAAGAGAACATTAAATGTCTTAGCAAATTTCAATTATGTTGTTAATTTATTTTATTGGCGCATAATTATAGATGGCACAGAAAGTTTTAACTGAACAGGAAGCAGCATGGCAAGCAGAATTTAAAGAACGCATGCAACTATTAGGTGCATCTGGGAATAAAATTCGTGGATATGGTTCCTTGCTAGCGGAATTGTCACAAGAGTTACAGATAATGAAGGAAGATTTCTCGATAAGAGCTTTTGGTATGCTTTCATAAGCTTTATTTTACTCCTATCGTTTGGTTAATTAATTTCTGTCAGTACTTTCCAATAATTCGATATTTCATTTCATCTAATGTTTAATTCTCACACTCATTCATTCATGCTATCCATGAAATAACTTTGTCTCAATCATTTAAAATATTTCTATTAGAAATTGCTCGATCTCATACACCAACAATTACGGAACTTCATAGTGATTCGGGTAGTTCACAAAGTACCGTTGGACATCGTCATTCAAATACAAGATCAAATGCTAATGAACCAAGACGCTTATCAACAACAACAATTACAAAATTACATCGAATTGCTTCTTCAGTACATCGTAAAGGTTTTCCTCATATATATTGCTTCATAATTCCTATGAAGCAGCTTCTTTTTCTTTTTTTTCTATTTGAAAATTACGATAATTGAATTTTGAGAATGATAATATAAGTGTTATGCGAGTTTTTTAAAATATTATTTTTATTCAGTTTTTAACCTTTATTGTTGCTCTAGCAAAGTGCACAATAAGTCATCTGGGAATCAATGTAACTGAGGAAAGGAATTTCTAGAAGCAGTACCTGAAAGAACCATCGTTGAAGGTACGGAAGAGGACAATTTACATGTGACATCTTCATCTACACCTGCAGCAAAAAGTTATTCAACTGGTTAGCATATTATTTAATTAGCAACCCTTTAATTAATGCACATGTTTGTGAAGTAATACCAAAGAAAGGATATCCATATGAATTGTTTTTATAAAATGAATGCAAAAATTCAAAATAAATTAGCTATCAGCATGAGAAAGAAAGGCTAGTGTAAATAGTATCAATATGTAAGCAATTAAATCTTAGTATCATTCATGCTAATCGTATAAAATCATAAATAACCTAAATTTGAATCAAACAATTTGTTAAATAAAGAATAGAAAATGAATTTCAAACAACTTTAACTGCTGTTTATTTTCATTTTTTATACCAAATTAACTCATCTGACATGCTATTTGTAGCTTCGAACTGGTCAAAAAGTTTTTAGGCGAAAAACTTATGGTAAAAGATAAAAGGGGTATATTTGATAATTTTTTTTATCAATATACTTTTGTAGTTCCTTTCATTATTATTGTTCTCATCATTTGAATTTATTCCGCCAAATTCTTTTTGTTTTAAAAGGAAAAGTAAGTGTTGTTGGTAGAGCTAAATAACCTTACTAATATCTAATCCTTGTTTTTCAGGTTCTCAAAAACGTACAGTTGTTGAATTGCATGATTTGCCGCTATTTTCGAAATATCGTAAATCGCCAAATATCGAGAAAAGGTAAATCGTGCAGTAATGATTAAATGTTTAGCTAGTCCACTTAAATTTAAATTTTTTATAAACATATTGAAAAAAAAATTTATATATGTCGAAAAAAGATTTTTCATATATACTAAATATTGAGAAAAAAACCTTAAACTGTATCGATATATATATATAAATTATTAAGAATTTAAGAATGGCTACTTCTCAAAGTAAAAAATGGAAGTTAAAATTTGAAGAGATATTATGTTATTACTTCAAAGTTTTTGATAAATTTCGCCTGCTAATCGACAGCTAGTAAACAGGTGCTTCGGTGATAACTTGAGGAAATAAATCGTTGCTTAAAAAATCGCAAAAATTTTGTAGGCAATCAAAATTGGAAACTCTTGTGCTTCCACTAAAGTTGGAAGAACCACTTAATACGCCTTCAGAATCAGAGAAACCAAAAGGTAATCAATCGATTACTTATCTTATAAACAGAAGAAAATTCAAGCATAGAATTTTCAATTCCTTATACGATAAGAAATAATTGCACAATTATTATATCAGCACTAAATAATGAGATCAGATTGATTGTCAAATTTGAAAATTCCGAGATTTTTAGACACGTCACTTGCATTCTTTTCAGTCGTTTCATTTACAACTCCAGTTGGACATCGACGTAATTCAAGTGATGACGAAGATTTTGTGGATCGTATCACGGCACGACATCATTACGTATGAAGTTGTTTACCGTGCATGTTGCGTATTTAACGGTCTCATAATGGTTGTATCATTTGACAAGCTCGTGTTCGAGAAAATATTTACAAATTAAGTGTCAAACTGTATGATTTAATTAATTATTCAACATATTAATTGTGATGATCAATGGTTTTATTGTTTATAATTTGTATATAATTGTCTGATAGTAATAAAAAACTTCTCACTATTCTGCTTATTTAACAATTCAAAAATTAAGTTTTTTTCAAGAGCTTATATTGTTTTTATTTATCCATGAGTTAATGAATTTATTTCTCTTTGATTTGATGCAAAATCAAAATGCGTAGCTTTACTCATTTCTCCCATCAAATCATCAGCAAAACGTCGTTGTGATAGTGATTGTTCCGCTAAGATTGTCTTTTCTCGAAATAACAACATGCCACGATGAACCTCAATAAAAAAATATATTCATTAAAAAAAAAAGCAAAAGAATGTAAAAATTTCAATTCAATCAAGTTTGCAATTTATTTCAGTCAGAAATCAAGAAATATTTAATGCAATTGAAGAATTGTCACAAGTAAATATGTAAAAAATCTTGCAAAAATTTGTTCCCATTTTATTTTCCGGATTACTGCCCATGTTAACTGTGATCGAATACAGGTATTACAGAATAAGGGAAGTCTATATCAAACATTACAATAACTGGTTGCATTTTACCTATTTATTCACATAGTATCCTAAAGAAATCTTGACAACAATTACCTTATTTCGGACTAAGATAAAATAAAGAAAGACACTTTCCTGATTATCGGGAAAAACTTGGCTACTTAGCTAATTCGATAGATTAGAGCCAAGAAAAGAGGTAATCATTTATTTCTTACTTTCAACATGATATATCCATACGTGCACAAGTTAATCAGCAATGCCATAAATGCCAAAGTTGTAGATGTAATAGCAATAACAAACATTAATTCATTTTTACTTGATATCTCATAAAAGGATGAATCAAGCATTAATTGATTCTAAAATTATAGCATAAAATGAGCACAAAAAACTATTATTAAACATTATTAGATAAAATTTTTTATTAAACACTATTAGATAAAATTAGATTAATTAGATCATCATGGTAAAACAAGCAATAGTTCAAAAATGAAAACTATCAAAAATACATTTAATTTTCAATTTATGAAATGTGATTAATTAGTGAGTTAATTAGAAGAAAATTTAAAAAAATTCATAGTTGATTCATAGTATCTTATAAGAATATGCCGAAACCAGTTATTAATTTCAAACAACTTTTAATCCAACCATGTTCAAAACGACCGCATTGTAAATATTAAATTTATAAACATCAAAAAAAAGTAAATATCAGATTTATAATTTGTGTAAGCACTGCGAAATACAAGAAAAAAATACAAATTGTAAAAAAAAATTTTTACCTGAAAATGGAAAATCAAATCGACTGTCAACCAAAATGCTAAATAAATTCAAACATTTCCATAATCCAACAAAAATTCAATTTTCCAACCTTCCCTGTATTTTGAAAATTATATTTTTTACCAAATTTATTGTCGAAATTAATTGAAAATGATATCAACGCAAATTTTACAGTATAACAGGCCAAAATTAATAAGTAAACTAAATCTTGTAGTAGAAATTTGTAGAATTTCACCAATTTATGACTCGATTAGTGACAAGGAAATTTGAAATTCATCATTCGTTACCATTTCATTATTTAAAATTGACACTTCAAATAATTTATAATGATACCGTGAAAAAAAATTCAGGTAATTATAATAATAATAATAATAATATTATTTGCCGAAAATTGGACGATCATATGGATTGTCAAGCAAAATACTAAATAAATCCAAAATTCTTTTCTAATTCAAATACAAATCAGTTTTGCTGTTATTAAAGCGCCTTAAACTTACCAAATACACTGTCAAAAGTAATAGAAAATGGTATAAAGTGGTAATTTTAAAATAGAAAAAGCTAAAATTATTATTCATTTTTCGTACTAGAAATATCTTGATTTCATTGATTTATCCTTTGTTTTAGGCTAGAAATCTTTATACTTATTTTGTTATCATTTTATTATTTAAAATTAAAATTTTTAGTGATTTATATTGATATTGCTAAAAAATCTTTACCGGAAATTAGATGATCTATTACCACATTACAATTAATAATTATAACTAATAATAGTTTTGTTTCATTTCGAACATTGAAAATAATTTTAAGTACAAATTTATGTATGGATATTTATGTATGATTTATGGAATTCATACAACCTCTAATAAGTTTTGTAAATTAAACCTGGAGATAGATTTTAATATTATCAAATTTTGTTTAATTAAATGTTGAGACTAATAAAGAATTGCAATTCATTTAAAAAAACATATATTTTTTCCTCCAGAACTTACTGATAATCCAAGTATTGTATCTCATGGAGTAAGTATTGAAGCAAATACCGCTTGATTCGTTTCAGAGCCAAAGTGAAATTTGCAAGTTATTTACTGGAATTACGCCATACTTCAAAAAATGATAAATTGTAATTGTAGAACAAACTTAATTCTAGTAAAATAGTTTTGTTTATTTGCAAAATATGCTATTATAGCCAAGTAGCATATTTTGCACATTACAAATGCACTATGGAAGTTACAAGAAGTAAATTAAAGGGACTGTCAAATCCTGATGCAAGGAAATATGTCAGAATTGTTGGATCTTCAATCGTTTTTCCTTTTATGTCATTTATAGCCGAGGACTTCAATTGTATATTCTCTTTTAAGACTCTGGTTGTAGAATCAATAGAAATCAGGCCGGAATTTAAAATTTTCTGTTCAGGAATACGAGAAAATGCGCTAGATATCGCTACTTCATCTCGCCCTGTAAAAGAGGCAGAAATAGAGAGAGAAAGAGACGTCATCATTATTAGCTGTACTGGAATGTCGTTGCAAATTCGGATCAAAGCCATAAATTTGATTTTAAAAAGGATTTATTTGAAACTTTATCCGCATATTCTCAAGAGAAAAAATAACAAGAAACTTTGATCTGATATAAATGAAACCTTACCAAAAACGGGAATTGAAATTTGTGATCCACATCAGAATACAGGCACATACGAAACTTTGGTTAATTTTGTTACTGATTGATCAATACTCATACATGAAGTCAAGAATTTTTAAAAAAAGTTATGAGGATCCAGAAGAAAGAAAAAAAGAAAGAAAACATTCAGTAATATAAAAGATGATGCAAGGTATACAGAAGTTGGAATTAATGAGAACATAGCAATACAAAAATTGAAAAATAACAAGAATGCCTCAGAAATATTTGGTTTCAGCTTTTTAATAAGGAACCAAGATAAGATAAAAGGGAGTATGGTTACAGAAATTGAGCCAAATTATGAAAATATATCATCGGAGAAATATATATTAGTAAGGCCTCTATACCTTTACATAAAGAGAGAACACTTAAATACCGTTGATGGACTAAGAGAATTCATTAAAGAAGTTATAGATTCAATCAGTACTGAAGGTGGATCCGATCTAGGCTCGTTTCGATTCCACTTTTGAATGAAGAAGACATAAAGAAAGTTGCTGACAGTGCTGTATTTGTAGGAATTGAGGATTCCAGACCGATTTTAATGGAAGTTTAATTGTTAACAAGTAGATGAAATATCAACCTATTGACTATTATGATTGCAGTGCTAAATGCTTGTTGCAAAATGTCTCTGCATAAAAAAGAAGTGTGTCTGAACATTGTATGAGGATTGAAAATATAACAACCATCGGTTGATCTCTCTCTTATTTAAAACATAGTAAGTTTATCGCTGCCAACTTCTTCAATAATATGCACATGAAATTCCACTTTTAGGTAAGATTATATATATCTCATATGCTGATCTGAGGCTAAAGAAGCAAAAAAAAAAAAAAAAAAAAAAAATTAAAAAAGCAATTATGCTTCAAAATGGCAATTACTTTTCTCACGATATCAAAATAATTAAACTTGGCCACATAATTAAATAAGATCCTTAATAACAGCGAAATAGCGCTTTAGCAAATTCTTTAATTAGTGAACTCTCTCAAGTCCTCTATCCTTTCACCAGTTCCTATAGCGTGTAACTTTATAAGTTTCTGCAAGTCCAATCACCACTCCTCCCTTAGCAGTACCATCTAGCTTTGTTATAATAATTAATCCTGTGGCACTAACTAACCATTTTACTAAATGCCTCTAATTAGCTATAAGCATTTTGAGCGGTATTCGCATCAAGAACCAAAATAACATCATGAGGAACAATGCCATCCAGTTTCTTTATCGTTCTATATATCTTTGATAAGTCCTCCATAACATTAACATTACTTTGTAGCCTGCCTACTCTATCAATCAGAACAACATCTATGCTTTTATAGCTTGACTTACAGCTCTATACGTCACACTTGCAGAATCGTTACCGTATTCTCAAGTAACAATAAAGCAATCAGAATCTCCTGCCTACATGTTTAGCCGTTCACTATTAGCAGCCCTAGACGTGTCCTACGTAACGAGCATGACGGATTATCCCATATTCTTATATTCATACGTAAGCGTTACTTATAGTTGTGATTTTATCATCATTACTCCACATACCACCATTACTATACGTGGTTTTTTATTTAAAATTAGTGGTTGCATAACAGGGTTTAATATCGCTTCTATTTCGTTCATTAGCTGCTGTGTCATGATAATATTATGCTCAACTTCTGTATCAAATTTGATGCTTGCGAACTTTGGAAGTTTTATGACCAATATCCATGCTAATGAGTAATTTCTTTAATTCATTCAAAAGCGATTGATCTAACTTTTTTTTTCCGAGAAAAAGTACTTTTCACTCCACCACTGAAGCGAGAAGTTTTTAATAAGCCTCTATAAAGATTACTAAACAAACTCAAGAAAATGCACCTTTTGAAATTACAATATAAAGAATGATATGCACTACGTGTATTTGTAAAGTTAAATACAATGTTTTATGCGCATTTTTAAATTAAAATGCAGGTGATTTATAGGTTAATCTTATGAGTTATAATGAGAACCATTATGAAAATCCAAGAAATGTTGGTTCTTTGGACAAAAATGATCCGAGTGTTGGCACCGGTTTGATTGATGCACTATTATGCGGTGATGTGATGAAATTGCAGATAAAGGTCGATGACAAAGATGTTATTGAAAATGCAAAATTTAAAACTTTCAGTTGTGGTTCTGCTATTGCCTCAAGCTTTTTATTAACAGAAATGATCAAAGGCAAAACTATTGAAGATGCAACAGAGATAACGAACACCCAAATAACGGAAGAGTTATGTTTGCCCCCAGTGAAGGTACACTGCTCAGTGCTTGCTGAAGACACTATAACAGCCGCCATTCATGATTATCAAAGTAAACATAGTAAAAAATGAAAGCTAAGAAGTTATGAGTGAATATCAAGGAGTTTTTTTTTTCCTAGTTAATAAATTATCGTGGATTTATATGTATAATAATAATAATAATAATAAAAATTACCGCACAAAGAATTTTATTTCTTATAAAAATAATTTTGTTTTTATTATTTTCCTCTTTTCTTTTCTAAGGAAACGCTTTTTGTTAAAAATGAATAAATATTAGTGTTTTCCACTAGCAAATATTGCAAATATTCAAGGAAAAATGGAAAAAAATTACCAGAAATAGATAAAGTTAAGAAATTTATTGAAACTTCTATTGTGAATCTCCTTTTGTTTTCTTTTTTTCCTTTGAAATCGCAACAAAAAACTATTTATCAAAAAAATTAACCATTAGAGTAATTTTATTGATATTTAACACATTTGAAAAACTTTAAATGAAATTACTTTATCTTAATTATTATATCATAGAAAGAGAATAAAATTCAAAATTTAGACAATAAATTATAATTGACATAGAAACCTAAAAATATTATATTTATTTCAAAAAAAAAAAAATACTATTTTATTTCAGTTATCAGAGTAATATATCACTGGATAATTTGTAACATATCTTGTTAAAATTATGGTAAATGTAGAACAAACTGATGATAACATTATTCGATTTTATTGTATTCTTTCCTTTGTCCTTTATTTTGTACATCTGAAAGCAGAAAAAAAAAAAAAAAATAAATAAAGTTAAGCGAACGTAATTGTTCCTAAATTACAACTAAACTTAGCCTGAAATAATTTAGGTAATCAGATCGAAACATACTTTTAGTATGAGCGGAGGAAGAGAACGATGGAGGGAGGAACAAAGACATGAAATAGGGAGTGACATAAAAAGTATAAAAATTTTCTTTTCAAAAATTCAATCTTTAATTTATGATGATTTAAATCAACATTATACAAGAATGACATATTCAAACGAATAGTTAGAGATTTTCGCTACTAGATAACTACCTTTCTTAACTACCTTTTTTTTTGATTATTATTTAGATATTTGTTAACTTTTTTAGTCTGTCAACAACAAAAGTTCTTTTACCGGTTTTTGATAGCCATTTGTTTACTTTTTTTTCTTTTATCACGAAAACTGCGGTAATAATGTAATGATTTTTGGATTATTGACAAATTAAAAGATTATATAAAAATTTGAATTATTTACAAAGTTGCTTACTTTCTGGAAGCATGCCAATATGAAGAGTTCGTTTCATGCGACAACTACGGCATATCTTTCGATAGCCAGTGGCTGAAATTTCAATATAAATAGGATAATTGAAATTTGGAAATATACGGTTGTCATATGCTTATATCTTGAAATGCTTCAAAAAAAATTACTTGGAAAATTATGATCTGATTAAAAAATTTTTTTAACAATATTATTCTAAAAATATGTCGTAATGATTAAACATTATCATCCTCACCATCATTCTCATCGTACATACCGTAATTAAAACTTTACATAACAACGCTGTGATCGCTCGCAAATGTAGCTCTTTTCGTCGCTAACTGTTCGTCTGAAATAAACATTAATGCTCTGAATTTCTTCAGTATAATGAATATCAAATAATAAATTAGTATTATTTTCAAAAATGAAACCCTAAAATTAGATAGCAATTTAAAAATTGAGAATATGTCATTGAAAATGAAATGATACAAAAGTCTAGCACTAGGCATAGTAATTTCATCTTCCTGCATGCAATGCTAATTAAAAAAAATGAATAAGACAAAGTATAAGAAAAATAAAATATTAAGCTAAATTTTAAAAACATTAAGTATTTATAACTGATACAATCAAATATTTTGAACAAAAAAATCAAAATTGGATATGAAATCAAAAAATTGATATTATGAAATATGGCGAATAAAAAAAATCGAATTGTTTAGAAAAATTGGATAAAATAATAATATTTTGCTAAATTATTTTTAGCAAAAAAAAAAAATAAGTTAACCTGAAAAATGCAGCACATGCAGCGCATGTTTTTGCTCCAAAATGCGATCCGTTTGAAACAGCATCAAGACAAACCTGACATAGTTGTTCTCCGGTCGTTTTCTTTGTTATAATTGAAGAAATTGTCCGTGGTGCAGATTGTTGTGGTATGGAAGGAGTTGATAGTATATTAGATGTGTCAAATGATAGTAGTGAATAGCTGAAGACTTAATTAAAATTGAAAATATTTAAGAGATAAATTGAAACAAAAATAGAAAAAACTTGAAATTAAAAAAAGAAATGAGAAATTTTAATTTGAAATGATATGATGAATTACCAGAGAGCAAACGAACATTTTGTGATTACGATTACTTACTTAGGTGTGAATTTTTTTTTTTTTAAGATTGTAGATGGATTGTTATTGTACATATCTATGTATTTACGATTAAAATTTGTGTTTTATTGAATAGCAATCTTAATGAAGCAGTTTTATGTTGTAATTCGACTGAAAGTAGCAGATATGCACGAAGGAAACCTACCTAATGTAACATGATTGTACTAGCACTTGAAAATATCTAATGGAGATGATACGATAGCCGAAAGAATACTGTAAAAGATGCTGATTGAAAAATTAAAATTGAACGGATACTGTGGATGAGATGTTTGAGATCGGAAGATGTTTGTCTGGTATAAAATTTTGTTTGAATTAATTGAATTGATTTACCAAAATATTAGCATAGACACAAAGCAATTAAAATTTGTTTCTGTTAAAATGTTAAATATTTTACAAGCAAAATTGAAATAAAAAAATACTTTCGTCGTATATAATAACAAATTATAATAATAGTAATAGTTATGGGTTGGCTTCTACGGTTGCGGTGTTGGAACAGTAGGAGTAATATTACTGCTGTGAAGTGACCAAACTGAATATGACCATCACCCAAAAAATGCTTACAAAATAATCAATGAAGTTGAAAATAACTATTTTTTTAAATGAATAGATATTTTAAAATAGTTTTCACTCCTAATTAAGATAAAATTTAACATTATTAGGACTTATTTTCTAGTTTGATATACAAAAAATCTTACAATTTGTAGGACTTTCAAAAAAAAAAAATAAATAAATAAAATTTAAATTTTTATTAAAAAATAATTTCAATTATAAAATGAATTTGTATTTTCTTAAAGTTTATTTTATTATTATTACTGTGAAGTGACCAAATCGAACATGGCCATCCCCCAAAAAATGCATACAAAATAATCAATAAAGTTGAAAATATCTATTTTTTTTATTGAATTAATATTTTTGAATAGTATTAGCATTTAATTAAAATAAAATTTAATATTATTAGAACTTATTTCTCAGTTTAATATACAAAAAATCTTATAATTTGTAAGATTTTTTAAAAAAAACAAAATTTAAATATTGGTTTTTATGAAAATCGTATATTTTTTAAAAATTTTCGTGTATTAAACTGTCAGATAAATCCCAGTATTGTCAAATTCCATTTTTTTTTAAGTGTAAAGACTTTTAAAGAATAGCAATTCATTAAAAAAAATTAAAAAATAGAACTTAGTTGATTATTTCATATGCATAGTGTGGAAAGTGTCACATACATTGTGGTTAATTGACATCATTAAATAATAAAATAAACTTTAATAAATAAGTATTGAATGATATTTCAGTAGCGTAATTGATAAAATTTTTAATTATTTGTAGTTTTACGGTTTAAATTAACTTTTATTTGAAATTTAAATATTGATTTTGATGAAAAACCTACAATTTCTATGAGTTTTTGCATATTAAACTGGGAATCAAATCCTAGTTCTATCAAATTTTCTTTTAATTAAGTGCTAAAACTTTTTAGGAATAGCAATTCATTAGAAACAACAGATATTTTCGACTTAATTGATTAATTTGTATGCATTGCATGGGTACTGGTCACATACATTCTTCTCATCTGATCAGCATAAATAATAGAATAAACTTAAATTATTAAGTTTTGATAAATGTTTGAGTACCGAAAATCAAAAAAATATTTAATTAGTCACAGTTTTAATTCATTCTTATATTTAAAATTAATTTTCATTTCAAATTTTAATAGTGGTTATTATGAAAATCGCATAATTTTTAAAAGTTTTTGCATATTAAACTACGAAATAAATCCCATTATTGTCAAATTTCATTTTAATTAAATATTAAAATATTAAAAAAAATCAATTCATACAAAAGAAAATAGATATTTTGAGCTTAACTGATTAATTTATATGCATTGCACAGGTGCTGGCATTTACGTTTGACAACTCAAAATAATAAAATAAACTTTAAAAATTAAGTTTTAATCAATATCTGACATTCAAAATTAATTAAATTTTAAATTTGTCACGGTTTAATTCATTCTTACAATTAAAATTAATTTTTATTTCAAATTTAATTTTTATTTTAATTTTAATTACAGTTCTAGTACGGATATCTAAGAAATTTCGACAATTTTTAAAAGCTTTTATAAATTAAATATTAAAAAATGTTTTAATTTTTCTAAATTCTGTTTTAATTAAGTGTCAAAGATGTTAGAAAAATATTATTCATTTTAAAATAAATATATTTTGAACTTAACTGATTACTTTTATTTGCATTATACTTGATCTGGTTACATTTTGTTAAGGTTTTTTGACATTTTATGCAACTTTAAAGCAAAATTTCAATGATGAATGAAATGTTTTGACATTCCGCTTGTATATGGTATTGTTTTTTGGACGAATGGGAATTAAATTAAGGCACAAATAGAAGTAAGATGAAAACAAAGTTTAGCTATAATGGCTTGATTAACATTGATTAATGCAGTTTTTTTAGTGTAATTATATATATATATATATTTTGTATTGATGAAGGCGAATGTGTGTGCCTAGCCGCTGTGTGCGCCCACCCGCCCCCTTTTGCTCATTTCCGTCCTAACTTTATTGAAACAAAAGACTTTCTTTGTCTACGTGCGCACACAGCCAAAGGCGCAGAAGGCGTTGCACACACAAACAGTCTCATATATAGCTATATATCCTCATTTTGAGTCATCAACGGGTCGGAGCATTTTTTTATTACTTTCCATTAATTTTTTTCAAGTTGGTTTGTAGGAGCAAATTTTTTTTCATTTTTAAGTTATCAGTTATTAAACTTGCACTCTGTTAATTATTAAAAGCGTAAGAACATTTGGTTGGGAAATGCATGAAAGCTTATGTGCTTAAATTTGAATTTTGTTATACTTTAAATTCGGTTTCACTTTTTTTGTATTTTTTTTTTTTTTTTCATTAGCTAATTGGATGCTTTGTGGAACGGTTTTTGGCAAAGTTCTATGTTTTGTTGTATTGCTGCACAAATTTGTTGCGTATTTCGTTGGTGATAACTTAATAACTTATTTAGTGTTGTTGGAGATATTTCATCTGTTTCCTGTTCGACGTAATGGGCAATGAAATCATCAAGCAAGACCTCGAGAAGAAGGAATACCCAAGTTAGTCCATTTCTCATCTTTATGTTAAATTTTCAGTATCTGTTGTACTTAACAGTTAAATGCAGAACTAACAGTTAGGTGGAGATGCTTTAGGTATATCTCATGTCATAATGAACCACTAATTAGACTTTCTTGTTAGGCTTATTATTATTTTATGGTTTTTTATACTTCTGTCCGTTAAGCGTAATGTTTTATAAAATCTTACGCCTTCATTAGTTATTCCAATTATTTTAGTGTATTTCTCTTATATTTTTTTTTGTAGTGATGAAGGCGAATGTGTGCTCCCACCCGCCCCATTTTGCTCATTTCCGTCCTACCCTCATTGAAGGCGAACGGAGTGTCTGTACTGTACGATTTCTGCAGATGTCTCTGCTCACCCGTTCGTTCCTTCTCACTCATATGCACACAGTCCAACGCCCCAATTCACTCAACCATTGATTAGCACTATACACTCTTAGGGTTTATACAGTTTTTTTAAAATGCCCATCCGCCCCCTTTTGCTCATTTCCGTCCTAACCTTATTGAAATAAAAGACTTTCTTTGTCTACGTGCGCACACAGCCAAAGGCGCAGAAGGCGTTGCACACACAAACAGTCTCATATATAGCTATATATCCTCATTTTGAGTCATCAACGGGTCGGAGCATTTTTTTATTACTTTCCATTAATTTTTTTCAAGTTGGTTTGTAGCAGCAAATTTTTTTTCATTTTTAAGTTATCAGTTATTAAACTTGCACTCTGTTAATTATTAAAAGCGTAAGAACATTTGGTTGGGAAATGCATGAAAGCTTAAGTGCTTAAATTTGAATTTTGTTATACTCTAAATTCGGTTCCACTTTTTTCGTACTTTTTGATTACAATAACAATCCATATATGATTACAATAACAATCCACCTACAATCTTAAGAAAAAAAATTCACACTTAAATAAGTAGTCGTAATCCCAAAACGTTCGTTTGCTCTCTGGTAATTTTTCATATCATTTCAAATTAAAATTTCTCATTTTTTTTTATTTCAAATTTTTTTTCAAACAATTTCAAATTTCAATTTTAATTAAGTTTTCAGCTATTCGCTACTATCATTTGACACATCTAATATACTATCAACTCCTTCCATACAACAACAATCTGCACCACGGACAATTTCTTCAATTACAACAAAGAAAACGACCGGAGAACAACTATGTCAGGTTTGTCTTGATGCTGTTTCAAACGGATCGCATTTTGGAGCTAAAACATGCGCTGCATGTGCTGCATTTTTCAGGTTAACTTATTTTTTCTGCTCATAATTTTCCAAGTAATTTTTTTTGAAGCATTTCAAGATATAAGCATATGACAACCGTATATTTCCAAATTTCAATTATCCTATTTATATTGAAATTTCAGCCACTGGCTATCGAAAGATATGCCGTAGTTGTCGCATGAAACGATGTCTTCATATTGTTGTATTGCTGGCACATCTAATACACTATCAACTCCTTCCATACCACAACAATCTGCACCACGGACAATTTCTTCAGTTATAACAAAGAAAACAACCGGAGAACAACTATGTCAGGTTTGTCTTGATGCTGTTTCAAACGGATCGCATTTTGGAGCAAAAACATGCGCTGCATGTGCTGCATTTTTCAGGTTAACTTATTTTTTTTTTTTTGCTAAAAATAATTTAGCAAAATATTATTATTTTATCCAATTTTTCTAAACAATTCAATTTTTTTTTTATTCGCCATATTTCATAATATCAATTTTTTGATTTCATATCCAATTTTGATTTTTTTTGTTCAAAATATTTGATTGTATCAGTTATAAATACTTAATGTTTTTAAAATTTAGCTTAATATTTTATTTTTCTTATACTTTGTCTTATTCATTTTTTTAAATTAACATTGTATGCAGGAAGATGAAATTACTATGCCTAGTGCTAGACTTTTGTATCATTTCATTTTCAATGACATATTGTTAAGTTTTAAATTGCTGTCTAATTTTAGAATTTCATTTTCGAAAATAATACTAATTTATTATTTGATATTCATTATACTGAAGAAATTCAGAGCATTAATGTTTATTTCAGACGAACAGTTAGCGACGAAAAGAGCTACATTTGCGAGCGATCACAGCGTTGTTATGTAAAGTTAAATTACGGTATGTACGATGAGAATGATGGTGAGGATGATAATGTTTAATCATTACGACATATTTTTAGAATAATATTGTTAAAAAAATTTTTTAATCAGATCATAATTTTCCAAGTAATTTTTTTTGAAGCATTTCAAGATATAAGCATATGACAACCGTATATTTCCAAATTTCAATTATCCTATTTATATTGAAATTTCAGCCACTGGCTATCGAAAGATATGCCGTAGTTGTCGCATGAAACGATGTCTTCATATTGTTGTATTGCTGGCACATCTAATACACTATGAACTCCTTCCATACCACAACAATCTGCACCACGGACAATTTCTTCAGTTATAACAAAGAAAACAACCGGAGAACAACTATGTCAGGTTTGTCTTGATGCTGTTTCAAACGGATCGCATTTTGGAGCAAAAACATGCGCTGCATGTGCTGCATTTTTCAGGTTAACTTATTTTTTTTTTTGCTAAAAATAATTTAGCAAAATATTATTATTTTATCCAATTTTTCTAAACAATTCGATTTTTTTTATTCGCCATATTTCATAATATCAATTTTTTGATTTCATATCCAATTTTGATTTTTTTGTTCAAAATATTTGATTGTATCAGTTATAAATACTTAATGATTTTAAATTCTTAGTATTATTTTCGAAAATGAAATTCTAAAATTAGACAGCAATTTAAAACTTGACAATATGTCATTGAAAATGAATTGATACGAAAGTCTAGCACTAAGCATAGTAATTTCATCTTCCTGCATGCAATGCTAATTAAAAAAAATGAATAAGACAAAGTATAAGAAAAATAAAATATTAAGCTAAATTTTAAAAACATTAAGTATTTATAACTGATACAATCAAATATTTTGAACAAAAAAATCAAAATTGGATATGAAATCAAAAAATTGATATTATGAAATATGGCGAATAAAAAAAATCGAATTGTTTAGAAAAATTGGATAAAATAATAATATTTTGCTAAATTATTTTTAGCAAAAAAAAAAAATAAGTTAACCTGAAAAATGCAGCACATGCAGCGCATGTTTTTGCTCCAAAATGCGATCCGTTTGAAACAGCATCAAGACAAACCTGACATAGTTGTTCTCCGGTCGTTTTCTTTGTTATAATTGAAGAAATTGTCCGTGGTGCAGATTGTTGTGGTATGGAAGGAGTTGATAGTATATTAGATGTGTCAAATGATAGTAGCGAATAGCTGAAAACTTAATTAAAATTGAAATTTGAAATTGTTTGAAAAAAAATTTGAAATAAAAAAAAATGAGAAATTTTAATTTGAAATGATATGAAAAATTACCAGAGAGCAAACGAACGTTTTGGGATTACGACTATTTATTTAAGTGTGAATTTTTTTTCTTAAGATTGTAGATGGATTGTTATTGTAATCATATATGGATTGTTATTGTAATCAAAAAGTACGAAAAAAGTGGAACCGAATTTAGAGTATAACAAAATTCAAATTTAAGCACTTAAGCTTTCATGCATTTCCCAACCAAATGTTCTTACGCTTTTAATAATTAACAGAGTGCAAGTTTAATAACTGATAACTTAAAAATGAAAAAAAATTTGCTGCTACAAACCAACTTGAAAAAAATTAATGGAAAGTAATAAAAAAATGCTCCGACCCGTTGATGACTCAAAATGAGGATATATAGCTATATATGAGACTGTTTGTGTGTGCAACGCCTTCTGCGCCTTTGGCTGCGTGCGCACGTAGACAAAGAAAGTCTTTTATTTCAATAAGGTTAGGACGGAAATGAGCAAAAGGGGGCGGATGGGCATTTTAAAAAAACTGTATAAACCCTAAGAGTGTATAGTGCTAATCAATGGTTGAGTGAATTGGGGCGTTGGACTGTGTGCATATGAGTGAGAAGGAACGAACGGGTGAGCAGAGACATCTGCAGAAATCGTACAGTACAGACACTCCGTTCGCCTTCAATGAGGGTAGGACGGAAATGAGCAAAATGGGGCGGGTGGGAGTACACATTCGCCTTCATCACTACAAAAAAAATATAAGAGAAATACACTAAAATAATTGGAATAACTAATGAAGGCGTAAGATTTTATAAAACATTACGCTTAACGGACAGAAGTATAAAAAACCATAAAATAATAATAAGCCTAACAAGAAAGTCTAATTAGTGGTTCATTATGACATGAGATATACCTAAAGCATCTCCACCTAACTGTTAGTTCTGCATTTAACTGTTAAGTACAACAGATACTGAAAATTTAACATAAAGATGAGAAATGGACTAACTTGGGTATTCCTTCTTCTCGAGGTCTTGCTTGATGATTTCATTGCCCATTACGTCGAACAGGAAACAGATGAAATATCTCCAACAACACTAAATAAGTTATTAAGTTATCACCAACGAAATACGCAACAAATTTGTGCAGCAATACAACAAAACATAGAACTTTGCCAAAAACCGTTCCACAAAGCATCCAATTAGCTAATGAAAAAAAAAAAAAAAATACAAAAAAAGTGAAACCGAATTTAAAGTATAACAAAATTCAAATTTAAGCACATAAGCTTTCATGCATTTCCCAACCAAATGTTCTTACGCTTTTAATAATTAACAGAGTGCAAGTTTAATAACTGATAACTTAAAAATGAAAAAAAATTTGCTCCTACAAACCAACTTGAAAAAAATTAATGGAAAGTAATAAAAAAATGCTCTAACCCGTTGATGACTCAAAATGAGGATATATAGCTATATATGAGACTGTTTGTGTGTGCAACGCCTTCTGCGCCTTTGGCTGTGTGCGCACGTAGACAAAGAAAGTCTTTTGTTTCAATAAAGTTAGGACGGAAATGAGCAAAAGGGGGCGGGTGGGCGCACACAGCGGCTAGGCACACACATTCGCCTTCATCAATACAAAATATATATATATATATAATTACACTAAAAAAACTGCATTAATCAATGTTAATCAAGCCATTATAGCTAAACTTTGTTTTCATCTTACTTCTATTTGTGCCTTAATTTAATTCCCATTCGTCCAAAAAACAATACCATATACAAGCGGAATGTCAAAACATTTCATTCATCATTGAAATTTTGCTTTAAAGTTGCATAAAATGTCAAAAAACCTTAACAAAATGTAACCAGATCAAGTATAATGCAAATAAAAGTAATCAGTTAAGTTCAAAATATATTTATTTTAAAATGAATAATATTTTTCTAACATCTTTGACACTTAATTAAAACAGAATTTAGAAAAATTAAAACATTTTTTAATATTTAATTTATAAAAGCTTTTAAAAATTGTCGAAATTTCTTAAATATCCGTACTAGAACTGTAATTAAAATTAAAATAAAAATTAAATTTGAAATAAAAATTAATTTTAATTGTAAGAATGAATTAAACCGTGACAAATTTAAAATTTAATTAATTTTGAATGTCAGATATTGATTAAAACTTAATTTTTAAAGTTTATTTTATTATTTTGAGTTGTCAAACGTAAATGCCAGCACCTGTGCAATGCATATAAATTAATCAGTTAAGCTCAAAATATCTATTTTCTTTTGTATGAATTGATTTTTTTTAATATTTTAATATTTAATTAAAATGAAATTTGACAATAATGGGATTTATTTCGTAGTTTAATATGCAAAAACTTTTAAAAATTATGCGATTTTCATAATAACCACTATTAAAATTTGAAATGAAAATTAATTTTAAATATAAGAATGAATTAAAACTGTGACTAATTAAATATTTTTTAGATTTTCGGTACTCAAACATTTATCAAAACTTAATAATTTAAGTTTATTCTATTATTTATGCTGATCAGATGAGAAGAATGTATGTGACCAGTACCCATGCAATGCATACAAATTAATCAATTAAGTCGAAAATATCTGTTGTTTCTAATGAATTGCTATTCCTAAAAAGTTTTAGCACTTAATTAAAAGAAAATTTGATAGAACTAGGATTTGATTCCCAGTTTAATATGCAAAAACTCATAGAAATTGTAGGTTTTTCATCAAAATCAATATTTAAATTTCAAATAAAAGTTAATTTAAACCGTAAAACTACAAATAATTAAAAATTTTATCAATTACGCTACTGAAATATCATTCAATACTTATTTATTAAAGTTTATTTTATTATTTAATGATGTCAATTAACCACAATGTATGTGACACTTTCCACACTATGCATATGAAATAATCAACTAAGTTCTATTTTTTAATTTTTTTTAATGAATTGCTATTCTTTAAAAGTCTTTACACTTAAAAAAAAATGGAATTTGACAATACTGGGATTTATCTGACAGTTTAATACACGAAAATTTTTAAAAAATATACGATTTTCATAAAAACCAATATTTAAATTTTGTTTTTTTTTAAAAAATCTTACAAATTATAAGATTTTTTGTATATTAAACTGAGAAATAAGTTCTAATAATATTAAATTTTATTTTAATTAAATGCTAATACTATTCAAAAATATTAATTCAATAAAAAAAATAGATATTTTCAACTTTATTGATTATTTTGTATGCATTTTTTGGGGGATGGCCATGTTCGATTTGGTCACTTCACAGTAATAATAATAAAATAAACTTTAAGAAAATACAAATTCATTTTATAATTGAAATTATTTTTTAATAAAAATTTAAATTTTATTTATTTATTTTTTTTTTTTGAAAGTCCTACAAATTGTAAGATTTTTTGTATATCAAATTAGAAAATAAGTCCTAATAATGTTAAATTTTATCTTAATTAGGAGTGAAAACTATTTTAAAATATCTATTCATTTTAAAAAATAGATATTTTCAACTTTATTGATTATTTTATATGCATTTTTTGGGTGTTGGTCATATTCCGTTTGGTCACTTCACAGCAATAATAATAAAGTTAACTATGAAAGGAACTTGATTCTTGAAGTATTGAACAATATTTCAGTAGCGAAATTAGTAAAATTTTTAATTATTCACGGCAGATAAATCATTCCTACAATTGAAATTAATTTTTAATAAAAATTTAAATTAATTTTTTTTTTAAAGTCTTACTAATTGTAAGATTTTTTGTATTTTATTCGTAATACTATGTTTAAGACATCCTGAAGAAAGCACTTTCAGGATACCCTAAAAAACTAACAAATTTTGACAATTTAGCATTGAAATAGAGGACTTCTATATATACAAAAAAAAGATGAAAGATATATGGAAATCATATTTATGTTTAAGTAGAACATCCAATCAGATAATTTGCACTAATTAATTGCAGCGTTTTAAAAATCTTAGAAAATATCTCGCTATGATTTTGTTAGATTGCAGATGAGTTCATCTTTCTAATTGTTGATATAATTTCAATTATCATATATAATTCGAATACTGTAAAGGTTCAAATAAGATTCTTTGCAAAGAATTACTTTGAGCACACTAAAAAATTGTGCTATTGAATGTTGTACACCGAAAACTCTTTCCCATATTTTTTCTTGCATAATTTGTGAAATTGGCTAGTCTTCCATATATAAGCCTAAAAGTTAATTTCATAAAATCATCTAACTTTTAACTGCAAAGGATTTAGAGATTTTAATTTGATACTATAAAAAGAATCATTTACATATATTACTTGATAACTGATGCATGAGTAAAACATTATTTACTTAAAACAAAAAAGGAAAAAGTTGTATTATTACTCAATCACTGTTTCATTTAATCACCATTTCCTAATTCGGAATCTTTTAATCTTGATAAGTTTAAAATTCTTTATAGTTAAGCTTAATGATTGAAATAAATTCATTTTTATTTTAGCATATTACCTAATCTTGCTACCGCTATATCTATTAGTGGTGTAAAAGCGCTAATAGAATGTCTATTTGATGTTCATGTTGACCAGACAATATCATTTGGACCACCAGTTTCAATTTCATTATTATCACGAACAAATGCAAAACTATCTTTTAATTGCTGTAATCTACGACAATTAGTAATAACTTAAATAGAAATTCAATCCTTTCTATGAAAAGGTTCTAACTTCGCCGTTAAATAAAAGGTATAAGAAAAGAGATATAACTGTCATTTAAATTCATCCACAAAAAACAAAAAAATTGAATTATGAGAATATATCGAATAGTTGAAAAAAGAGAATAATTATAGATTGTTTCATTTAATTTTTGACTTGAATTTAAATTGCTGTGTACTCACTGGTTGAATGAATAAAATACTGAAAGTAATTTCTCTAAAATTAAATGAAACAATCTATAATTTTTGAGTCAAATGGTGAGCCAGGCAGGCAAATAGAAACAATGCAAATATGCCAAATGAGCCAAATGTTGAGCCTTGAAGGAAAAAAAAGGTTATATCGAATAAAATTTGAAATATCTTTAACCTGATTTTCATTTTCATTTTTTTCTTACTCCGTGACCTAATAATTCGATATTGGTACATTTTAAACAGTTGGTATTTATTGGCCAGCAAAAAAAAAAAAGAAAAAAATTGAGTAGAGCAAACACTGTACGTACCAATAGCTCTCAAAAATTCCGTAAACTAATTTAAAATTCTTTGAAATTTCCCACATTCATCATTTAATAAAACCGGTCTAAAGTACTTTCTGAAATGGTACCATCAGACCAATCAATCCGGATTTCCTTGCCGATGAGTCAAAACCTCACAATTTGTAAGAGTTTTTGTGTATTAAACTAGGAAATAAATCCTAGTATTATCAAATTTTGTCAAAACTATTAAAAAATACCAATTCATTAAAAAATATATTTTTTTTCAATTTAATTGATTATTTTATATGCGTAGTGCTGGAACTGGCCACATACATTGTGACCATTTGACAGTATAAATAATAAAATAAACTTTAATAATTAAGTTTTGAACAATATTTGAGTAACGGAATTAGTGAAATTTTTAATTTGTCATAGTTTTATGTTGATCTAACTTTCATGTTGATGAAACTATTAAAGTGTAAGTGGTTGAATTTCAATATAATGACTTCAAGGTATTACAAATATATTCGTCACTATCATGATTTGCTTGGGAAATATCAAGTGAATACATTAAATATCAATCGATTTTTATGAAATGTTTAAACTTTTCTCATTTTGAGACCAATTTGTTTGCATTTATAGCGACGAATTACGCATCCAGTAAAAGTCAGAGATTGTAATATGTAGTAATACTGATTACAAGTGTACATATTGGTAGAACAGTTTATTAGTGTAGGGAAAAGTCGAAAGTCGATGCCACCTTTTCGTACCAAAGTTTATTTTACCACAAAAACATTATTTTGAAATTAATTTCAAAGTGTCTCGGAAGAAATAAGAAACTTAATAGAGAGAGAAATTCCTTACGACTCAAAACAAATTTTTCTTTTCCATAATTTTTTCCTAAATTCGTTCCCAATTTCCCACTTTTTTTAACCCCAAATAGAGTTTAAAGTAAAAGTGGAGGGGAAAAAAAAAAACTAAGGCAAGTTGTTTATAAATTTGTTTACAACATAAAATTTCAAAATTAATGAGACCAGAAAATGTTTGTATTGACAGGAACAGCTCAAAATAAAAACAATTATTTACATGATGATAATCACTGCTGTGATTGTTGTTGCTGTTGTTGGTGTTGATGTGGCTGTTGCTGCTGTTGTTGATGTTTCCCAAAGATATCTTCGTATTTTGTTGCTGGTGGTAATCGTGACGACATTTCTTTCACTTCATGCATTTGTAAAAAATAACTTAGTTGTCGTCTTATACGTCGCAGGTAACGTAGACGTTTTCGTGGCACTTGTCTTTCAATTTTTTTCTTTAATATTGCAAACAAATCGTTGTCAGTCTGAAGAGAAAAAAGTAAATTATTTTTCTACATATCTCATTATAGTGATTGAAGTAATATTACATATAGCTAAAATAAAAATTTCAATTTCAAAGCGAAAGATCAGAAATGATGTATAATGATAAATTTATTCTGTATGGATGAATTTTACTAAATACAATTTTTAAGAACTGAATATACTTCAACATCTCCACCACCACATTTTTGTCCAGCATGGGAAGAAGAACACTTTGCATCATCACTTTCCGTATCTGGAAAAAAAAAAGAAGCTATTTTGAATTAAACAAAGAAAGTTATTTAAAATCCCTTACAGTTAGTAGAGAAAACTGTTTTTTTTCAAATTCCAGAACACGCTCTTTAAATTAACAGTTTTACGAGTAACAGTTTTTTTTTTTATCAAGTAAAATTGAACTTTACTTTGCGGAATGATTCTATTAAGACTTTGCCTACTCACCCGATGATTCATCATCATCGCTGTCACTTTCATCTGAGAAACTATTTCGTTGCTGCACTTGGTTGGAATTACCAGAAGGATGTACTTCAGGTGAGCTAATCGGTGAGGTTGTTGAATGAGCAGAAATTGGTTTCGATACTTGCTGCACGGTACCAGTTCCATCAGCACCTTTCTGTGAATTATTTTCCATTTGTGCTGTCCTATTCTGAGCATATTTGGCCACTTCTGCGACTGCCGAAATCACTTCCATACGCATATCCGATGTTGTAGCACCCTGATTCTCCATTTTTATTTCGATGCCCTGATAAATTCGGTACGCATAGCCATGAAGGCTCTGATTTCTACGAAATCTATCTTTACTTTGGTGGTATAATTTTTCATTTAAATTCCCGTAAATGCAGGTTCACAGAAAGTATAAAGTTGAAAGAAAAGGAAAAAAGAAATTACTTCTTTTGATGCTTCGCCATTCTGAAATGCCAGATGAGGATTGCTATAACAAGCAGCTGCACTAGCCTACAAATATCTATTAGTTTAACATCCTCAAACCAGAAACTTGTACGTTGAAATTTTTTTCTGCCTATCAAAATTCTTGAAAATGACATTTCTTCGCAAAAATGCCCGAAAAGTTTAACGTATTTGAAATAAAAACTGGAATTATTTAAAAAAAGCTATGATAATAGATAAGATTTGTTCAAGCAAAGAAATCGATAACCTCATGATCAAACCGATATTATGATTTATATTTCCAAAAATATTTTCAAATAAATTAATAATCGATCTTATGCATCTTGTCATAAGCAGAATAAAAACTGGTTGACAAAATAGACAAACTAACATCATGGACACCATTGAAATCGCCTTGCATACGAAGTATATCGTTTAAAAATTGTTGAGGATATGGCGCTGCTGAAAATCCGGTATAATACTGCTCATCCATATGCTGTAAACAAAAAAATTTAATAAAATTTATGCAATATTAAGCATAATAAATGTTATCATTGCAATAACACATTCTAAGATTTCTCAAAATTATGACAAAATTTCGACATACTTTTCGTTTCTGAACCGATACAGTTTGCCGTGTCAGAGGATCCATTACATGTTTCGATGGTGGTGCCTAAAAAAAAAATTATGATTCAACAGTTTGCTGCTGCTGCTGCTGAATTACAATGGCACAATGGAAATTGTCATTTCTTAGCCAATTCATTCAAATATATGGTAATATGTTTTAACACAAATTTTTTATGTTTCATTTCTTAAATTCCAGGTTAACATTTAATATGAGCGATATGAAAATGAAAATACATCATTTTAGAAGAAAAAACAAATAACGCACCATCATATCAGCAGGAGCGGGATGCGAATGTCCTTCTTCGGTAACATATAACTGCAAAGTCACAACAAAGATAAATTACACTTTAACTTGGACGATAGTATTTAGTGAGGAAGGAAAAGATTAAAATTTATTAAATAATTTGAATACCTGTACACAGTCGAGCATTACTTTGGCTTTCATCGACGCATAACAAGGTTCATATTTGCAGTGATAATACACGATGTTATTCACTTTCTAAAACAAGCCAATCGCTGGTCGTCAAGATCGTCTGATCTTTTGTGATGTTAACGAAAATGGCAGTAGTTTTTCAAAAGTATTACTAACAACGAAATGGAAAGCGCATATAACAAAAAAATAATGATATATTGGAAATAATAAAAGGTCCCCTTAAATTTTCAGACTAAGCAAAAATCAGAAAAAAAGGATTCACGTGATGATGGCGATACCAATAATCGCCTAGTTTTTCTTCCCAATCGCGAAATTCTTGCATTCCAATTATCGACTTTTTCACGTAAAATCGTCTTTTTTCACGTTGCGAAACAGCGACATTCGTTGGTACCTGCACAAATTTTCACCTAGTATTCAAGAACATAATATAGGAAAGTTTTTTAAATTGCACTGAAGTCAATAATCAAACAATGCTTTAATAAATAATCAAAATTAACTCACTATACTCACCATTGACGGTGCTGTTGTACCATCGAACCCGGCATGCATGGTTAGTTACCTATAAATATGTTTCATTAATTTTGAATTCAATGTATTTTGCATACTGTTGTTAGCGTAAATTACCGCATAATATATATATTGTAATATTTGTTGAAATTCATATAATTGTTAAAATGTTCAATATTTTTTTTTGACGATAATTAAATTTTAACTTTAAATGTAACAAAATCGATATTCATTTTTAGATGTTATTAAAATTTCGTTGCAGTTGCTTCTACTACAATTATCAGTGAAACACTTTTGAGGTGCTTATGTGAAACTGATGGTAAAAGAATGTTTGATACAATGAGAAATTAGTTATAATGTAATATAAAACTTCATAGACATCGTTATCAGTAGTGATAACAGCAAGAAGGCATATAAGGATGGATGAATGATTTGAAGAGTGAAAAAAAGAGAAATTTTGATAACGATGAGTAGTGGAGGATAGGAATGATAATAATAATAATAATATATAATGATAGTAGTAGTGATAGTGATAGTGATAGTGTTGGTGGTGGTGGTGGTGCTGCTGCTGCTACTGCTGGTGTTGGAGATAATGATAGTGATGGTAATAGTGATAGTGATAGTGATAGCAGTGGTGATGGTAACGGCGATGATGATAGTGATGGTGTATGTTTGCAAGGATGAAAAGGGAGAAGCGGCGCTCATCGACATCAACATTACTAGGCATTTCTGCTGCACAATGATATCATCAGCCAACAACAGCACAATCATCAACGATGACGACCAACTATTACTGCTAGCAACATCAATACCCTTCCTGTATCCGTCTTTGTCACTCTTCCCTCAACCAACCCTGTTATTATTATTATTATTATTATCATCATCAGCAATAACCTCTGTCATTAACAATCAATGACAGCAATAGTTAATAACAGCAGCAATGGCAATTATCCTTCATTTGACAATAATTATTATAGTTAAATATAAGTTAATAACAATGACGATAATTACTGTATGTTTACCTCTTGCATATATTTTATACCAAAATTTTATTCGCTGAATTATAAATTAGGGATATTCTAAAAACTTTTATTAAAAAGTGAAAAAAAAAAAAGACTTAACATTCTGAAAAAAAATAGAAACAAAAAAAATTTTATAAATAATTACATAAAATAATTTCAAATTTATAATTAAATATTTTCAATACTTTCATTATTTTTTCCTTTTTTCCTCACATAATAAGATTAAATGTTATTTAAAAAAATTCTAAAATTATCCTCTTTAATCGTTTCTTTCTTTCTCTCTCCCTGTCTGTCTTGATTCTGCTTAAGTAATATATAACTAAGGTTATCACTGTTGTTATCATTACTACTACTACTACTACTAGTACTACCATTACTACTACAACTAATTACTTCTACTGATAATGATAATGATATTGACGTTGCTGCTGCTGTTGTTGTTGTTGTTGTTGTTGTGATCCATTTGTGTCCTTCGTCCCAACTTTCATCATTCTTATCGTCGTCTTCCTCCCTCCATCTTTATCGTCCTTGTCATCGTCAACGAGTCGACATCGATGTGATGCTGACGCTGAGCTGCTGACGATGATGATGATGATAGTGACGATGGCAATGGCAGTGACGGTAGCGGTAGCAGTGGCGGTGGTGTGTCATTAGAGAGGCAGGCAAGTCCCCTTGCCTACCTCCCTCCTAACCCCTTTTTCACCTCTTTCCTCCTCCTGTGATTACTACTAAATTCATCGTCAACATCAACAGCAAACCAACATTACCCATTGTCGTGGTCGTCAGCATCATTGTCCCCAATATTACTAACAAATTTTGCATTTATGAAATATTGGAATGAATGTTGGTTGAATAAATAGATTTGTTTGGTAAATAAATAAATTTGTTGGACAAATAAATACAATAGGATTTGTTATAAATCCTACTTACAATTATTATTATTATTATTATTACTATTATTACATGCAAAATGTAGCATTGTTCATTATTATAATAAATGTTATGTTGCGTTAACAATAATATATACATGGCATTTCAATTGATAATATAATATGGATACTAACAAGGCTTAAAATTAAATTTTAAAGAAAAAGAAAAAGAAGTGTTATTGGAGACAGAATGTCTCTATAGCTGAATTAAAAAAAAGGAAATAAAATGAAGTGAATTTTAAAAATTAACATGATCAAGTGAGAGCAACTAATTATAACTTTTGCCATATGAAAAATTCAAGTTTCTTCAACTTACCATTTTTATTTCACTACTTTCTCACTTTTCAAAAAAAAAAAAAAGAAAAGAAAAAAGGAACGCAACAATATCAAAGTATAATTTGCAAATAAAAGAAAGGTATTGCAGGTAAGAATGATTTCAATCAAATTGATTAGTTAATTTAATTAAAAATGAAAAAAAGGAAAAGAGGAGAGAGAGAGCGAGAAAAAACAGAGAGCGAGGTAATAGGTAGTAGCAATTTTTAAAATTTAAACAAATTGAAAACAAATCCTACGCGAAATTCATTCAAACATTCACTTTAATAAATGCTCGAATATGATTTTTGTAAAAAGTTCAATTAAATTAAAATAATTAATAGTGGATAAATTGTTTCTGAAAACAATTCTATTCCTGTAATCCTGTTTTAATGTAAAAAGAGAAAAAAAAGCAAAAAAAAAAAAAAGAAAAAAAAAGCAAAAAAGAATGTTACAGTTATAGACTTTTGCATGGAACATTAATATGTTTTAAATTCATTAAACTCATTTCTTGAAATGTTATCTTAAAAAAAAAAAAAGTACGAGAAAGTATGACATATGTAGCAGAAGTGAATCGATTGTATTTAAACAGGAATTTAACTGAAACTACAGAAAAGTAGAAAAGGAATTTGAAATAACTCATCTTGATGATATATGTGACATTTTGGTAACAATAAAAGTTAATATATTAATGAAAAAGGATGGATAAGTTTTTTTTTTTATAAAGAAATGAAATAAAAAAAAAAAGATATCGAAAAAAATTCAAATCATTTAATGATGCAAATTGAACAAATTTAAAAAAAGGAGTAATGCATACCATAAATTGTCTATCGAATATATAATTCTGCATTGATTATATTCTATTTTCGCTATATTGAATATTTTAATATGAAAAAATTGTCCACTTTAATCTTAGTCAACTTTTTCTTCCTTTCATCTCTTTCATGCCTAATTTAAATTATTAAAAATTAGTAATGATAAGAGGAAAAATATAGAAGTAAAAGCATACCATAAAATTTGAATGGGAATAGCAAAGATTATTGATTAAATTTAATTTTGGACAATATTACAATTATTTCAGTTCATTTATATTTTTTTATGTTTTCAAACAAAAATTTTATATATTTTTTTTTGGTTTATTTATCATATTTTTAACAAAATTTTTTTTATTTTTTTAATATTCATTACTATCATCATATGTATATCACTAATTTTACATTTTATTGTTGTTGTTATTATCCAAATATATCAATTTGAAGTTGCTATCAGTTCTCTACAAACATAATTATCAGTACTTTGCTATACAAACACATTAGTTATTGTAAACCATCAACACTATCCTGTGACAGGTACTGTTCATGGCATATAAAAGGTAGTTTGCTCGTATCATAAATACAATTTTCAACATTACTGATAGGGCTACGCATTTATTCTTCTCCGATCAATACATTCATATATTAATTGAAGATAAAACTATTCATGTTTACAACTGTTTGAAATATCTATATTGTATAAAGCAAATTTAAAAAAAAAAAAAATTATTGACGATATCCAAATTTTATTCGCAAAAAAAACAAAAAAAAAAAAAAAAAAAAAAAAAAAAAATCGAAATGAGTTGTCCCTAACTTTTATTGCAAATAATCGAAAAACAGATAGATAGCAGCAATAATGGTAAAAATTCCGTAATTTATTTTTGTTATTCAATTAACCACCATTGTAAATTAAAGTCATGCAATACTTTGTAATGTTATCGTGACTGCATCAGGTAATAAGTTGTCGGTTTGATGATAAGAATGCCTATAATCATATACATACATTCTTAGCAACAAACCAGAAAAAAAAAATGGCGAATATTTAAACATTGAATGATTAAAGATAACAGCAACTTTTGTAAAAATTCAAGAAGAAGTTAAGTGCGTAATTCATATGATAAATTTAATACTTAACGTGGAAAAATTATTTTCTTTTAAGCTTTCTTTCGCAGATACATGTAGCTTTCGTATATTTTGGACTCTCAGAAAGAATAATCCATAACAGTTCAAAGTAAACCCAACAAATTCCCAAAGCTGTTGCTAGTGAGGTAAGCATCAAAGGAATGAATTCGAAATTAGTGTCGAATATGATCTAAAATATAAAAACCATATTCAAGAACTTACGAATTAAAAAAGTTAGGATTCTACTTACCGTTTGGAAGACTAGAATCAAACAATGAAAGATGACTGAAAATACAAGAAATCGTAAGAAAAATTTCGTCCTTTTAGTTCAATAAAATCAGTAATATTAATTATTTCAATAGTAAGGATGGCATAATAAAAATTACCAACCCTATGTAGGACTAAATAATAAATTTGAACGAGTAGAAGTCCAAACAAATAAAGTTTTTGCAGAAAACAAAGTGATCTTTCTGGACACACAATCTGCATAATGGTTACTGATAAAAGCAGATAGCAAAGTGTAATAGAAACCTAAAATAAATAAGGATTGAAAAACACATAAAAATGAACAATTTAATTCCTAATGTAAAAATACCAATAGAGTTGTAATATCATCGAATTGTGGACGATTTTAAATATTTAAAGGATATTTAAAAAATGCATATTGTCCCATATTGTCCCATATATGCATATTGTCCCACTAACTATTAAAACTATAAAAACCTTCCCTATACTTTGATATAGATTTTAGAATACTACAAAATTATATAGCGATATTGAATGAAAGCGTTTTTCAACGATACGAAGGAACATACCTTCAAAATATTCTCAAAAGGAGTAAAAAAAAGAGGAAAAAGTGAAACATTAGCCACAACTGAAAGCACAACAAAAGACGATAAAAATCGATGATCCTGAAATATTAAAATTTTCAAAATTTCATAATAACCTAACAAGTAATTAAACTAAACAAATGTACACTGGTAAGCCTGATTCGAAAGGCTAATGCTTCAAATGTAAAGCATGAATTTTCTTTCAAAAAAAAAGAAAAATGCTACATAGAATACTCAAGCATATTTGAAGTGATAAAAAAAAAATAGTGAATTATAATAAAATAACAAGCAGTCGAAATATGGTAAAAATACCTCACTAAAGTTGCTTTTTCAACTAAATTAGTTACAACAATAGTAAATATAAGTTTCTATAGAAAACACTATTAAATGCAACATACTGAAGAAGCTAAAATAGTATACGGAACGGTGATGAGTATAACTGCTTTTTCGTGCACATGATAACCAGCAAGAAAGAAAGCAAATGAAGATAATGTGAGTAAAAGAGGAAAATTCTTCGAGTGTCGAGTACCGATAAGTGGTACAAGCGGTAGTAGTAACGTTGATGTCACTAGCAATGTTCCGAACGGTGATACAGAAGGCAAAATAGAATGGTCGAATTCCTCAAATAACTTAGTCCAATTTTTAATTAAAATTAAAAATTTAAAGAGCAAAGTTTGGGAAGAGTGCTTAAAATGCTCATCAGCTATTACTACAGGCTATAAAAAAGAAAATAGAGGACTGTACATCGAACAAATGAAAAGGTACTTGTACAAGACCCGAAATATAAGCAGGAGAATGAACATTTGCTGGCAATCGTTTGATCAATTTCAACATTTGATAGATATACCAGTCAGCAAAATTATAAAGTGCCCATAAATTCGGAGCCCAGTAAGCGTGCGTAAGACCACGCTTAAACGGAAACAACTGTCTCCATAACTGCTGCAGAACACCAGGACCACATAAGTAAATAAATGGACCTGTAATAAAGATTTGCATTGCTTAAGTTTATAACAAAACAAAGTTTGTAATATAGTCAGAGAAATAAGCCATAAAAGATAATGTCCGCAAAAGCGCCATGAAAGTCTGAAGAATCAAGCTACAATTCATTGAATACTTACTTAATCTCCGCTATTTCAAAATCATTAAACTACATGATCTGAAGCTTAAAAACAATATTGGAAAAATATGAAACATTTACCTTACCAAAAGATAATGCAAATGGAAGAATAAGAACAGCAGTTAATTTTACAGCATTAGCTATGAAAGTCTTTCTGGAAATAAACAAATAATTCACAAAATAGTACATCGCATATGCAGGTGCATAATACAGATAAATATGTTTCATATTTAATAGAATGCAATAAGTCAATGCACCCTGAAAATGAATTACAAAACATTACGACACATAAAAGTTTCACGAATACCTAATTTTCATTAATATTCTGTATCCATCAATACAGATCCTTAAAACAAAGTTACTATCATTTTTGAGGCATAAGGCCATCGTGAATCAGTGATAGAGTATTAATTGACATTTCTAAATGCTATATTATATTTGACGGAGTTGAAAATTTTTCTCACCTAGGACGAAGGGGAGAAACTCAGCAGAGAAATTAGTAAAAATAAAGAAAATTGAGCTAATATGAGATTATCAAGTAATAGTTAATTTATCACGGTCCTTATAAACTATTATTTCATTTTTTGAGATATGTAATGAAGTGGAATATTTAAAATGATCAAATAACAAACAGCACTTACACATAGGAAAGACTTTCTCATAATCCAACCCAGAGAAAGTAACAAAAGTGATGTTAGAATACCATTATATTGAAAATGCATGTTGTCGATCATCACCAATGAAACATTAGCTATGAGAAAAATGTCAGCAGCAAATGAATTCTTTTCCACGCCGTTATGATTTTTGTAAAATTTACGGAAACTTTTCGTTACAAAAATACATGATAAGACCTGAAATTTCGCAGAATAAAAACAAAATTAGGACAAAATTGCTATGAATACCACATTGAGATGCGTAATTAAATGGAATATTTAAACTTATACTACACATACGCAATGAAACTTACATAAAACTTACAAAACTTACATAAAAAACGTCCGTTGCAATCACTGAAAATCTTTGAAAGTACAATAATTCAGTAGAAAAATATGCCTCTTTTTGCAGCACCAATGCAGAAGGAATGATTTTTGCTGCGATCTAAACATTGTTCATTTACACTCAAATAAATCTAAAACAACTGGAACTATTTTAAGTCATACTGAAAGGTATGAAGTATCTCTCAATTAAATCACAAATGATAATTTTATTAACCTGACTTAAAAAATATTCAAAAAAAGCAAAAAATGGAGGATAATCAAGCGTCCACTGCGATCTGCTTTCATAATACCATGAACAAATGGGAAGCGTATGTGTAATGGCCATCCAGTTACGATGAACCTATATTTAAAAAAAAAGCTTAGGTTTAATTTTCAATTTAATTTCTTTTCGAGTTTTTTCAATTCCAATTTCCAATCTTTTCTCAACTTATTTTTTTTGAAAAATAAGTTTTACTGAAGAAAGATTACTATACAGAATTTTTTATTTCATTTTCGAATTATTTACCTCGAAATCGGTGCTATGATAGCATGGTACCAGCAGAAACTTTATAGTAAAAACTGCTGCACAACAATACTGGAACCACTGATTTCTGAATTTTTTCAAATAATCCAATAATTCAGAATCTTCTATCTGATCTTTTGATACTGATAAATGGGTAGTCATCATATCGTAGGATAAACCATTTTAGGAGGAAATCTAAATGATTAACTTCATATCATTATTTAAATTAAAACCATTGACTATTAAAAGCAAAATTATTACTTAATTAAGGAGTTTTTTCTTCTTTCTCTCAAAATGAAGTGAAGAAATTCATGAATATTATTATAGCAATCATAAAAAATCATTAAGAACTATCCTAACTGTTATCGAAAATAATTGTAATTGGTGTTGAAATAGTTATAATTTTCCTATAGCTTTCAAGATTACTAGATGACTAATCGTGATATCAATACAATTACTTTGATCATTGTCTAAGTAAATGTGATATCAGCAACTGTGATATGATTAGAAGATAAGCGATCGAATGGAATATGAGCAAGATATGACCCAACAATAAGCAGAACAGATGGACCAGATTGAAAATAAAACACCAACCAAGGTAAGAGAGAAGTTCCCGATGAATGGACAGGGAGGAAGCGGGGTTGACTGGTGTATGAGGTCGTGCATTGGACATCACAATGATAGCAAATGATGATTTTATTCTCACCGCAAACTTAAGAATCTGAATAATAGGGAAACAAAATATAGTAATATACTTGGACCCTATATCTTTACATCTTTTGAATTTTTGTTGTTTATCCAAGGATCATAAGTTCTTGAAACTTATAAAATTGCTTTGTTTGTTTGCAGCTTTATGTTTTTGTTATTTAAAAAACTTGTTGCTCTTCCAGAGCCGTGTAAACTTAAGATATATGTTCTATTATTTGGTAGTTTTATGCTACTATGTCTGACATCACTGTAGCATTGTAGGTATTATTTAATCAAAAAAATTTTGTCTGATATCACTGTAGCATTGTATTTAATCAAAAGAATTTTATAACTTATCAGTAGTTGTTTACCTCCTTTTGAATTCTTTTCCTTTCACAAAATGCACTATTGGCGCACATATTCCTATAATAGTTTCAGTTAAATTAAAAATAAAAAAAAAAGAAAAATTTCAGCTAAAGGAATATTTCCGCTATCAGTCAGCGATAACCAAAAGATCTTAATGAAGATGAATTGTCACAACGTATTGTAAATGACACCTTTATGGTATGCCAAGATGATACCATGTTTTGTCATCCCACTATTTTTCTCTTTCATCTCGATGCCTTCACACTGAATCTATCATTATCGTACGTTGAACCTAAATTGATCTTGCTATCTTGATCGATGATAATTTCCATTGGCAAATTATGCTTTTGAGCTTATCACCGAATGTATAGCATCCAGTGCCATTATCTATTTTAATCCTATCATCAACTATTTTTGGGAACTTTTGCTTCTATTATTGTTCTTCCGATTAGACGAGCGTAATAATACATCTTCTGGATGATAAAAAACTGCAAAACATGCCAAAAATAATTTAGGTCACATACTTGTAATATCGATTTGCTTATTCTTTTCAGTGGAAAAAATTATGTTTATAGATGACTCATAGACTTTGTCTCCTATTTCTGCTTGTACAATTGTCAATTGGATTCCAAAGAATAAGCTATTTATTTCAATATGCATATCCGTTATTATACAGATCAATAAACAACATTTGAGAAAACATCACGGTTTCTTTGCTGATCGTGTGGTATGCTAAACTCCAGTTGTAACTAATGCCAGTTTGGTCTATAGTTTCTCGAACTTCACTTTTCAATAACTTCATGGCACATTTTTATAAGAATTTTCCCTCCTAACTTCTCTTACATGGGTTTTACAGGTTTGTTCTATCAAATTCTCAGTGGGAAGGCCATTATCATCAAATTCAATTGAATAAAAGATAGTGTTACATCTTTATTAAGGTCTTCTGGTTATGTAACATACGACAATGATACAATAAAATAGCAAAAATTACTGTGCCATTATCAGATAGGGAAATTTTTGTTTTTCTTTTTTCAGGAAGAAAACTGCTTACAAAAGCAATTTCTGGAAGCAAAAAGCAAAATGAAAGGCTTGTCATATCATCTGGTTAGTTAACATTCTCCAGGAATGTTATCATCGCTATGTTCGGTGCTTTACACAACAATACTTGTATAATTTGTCTGTAGAAGGAAGAAGGAATCATTTCAAAATACCTATGGCGTAGAAGTAGTGTCTCTTAGAGCGTATGTTGCACAATTTTATTGTAAATTTAAAAGAAATTCTTTCATACACAAACATACGACGGATGATACAATAAAATAGCAAAAATCAAAGAGGCTCTTTTTTACAAGTAAAAGAGCTCAAAATAGATAACAAATGCAAACAATAATGACTACATTTGCCGAAAAAATTCAAAAAGTTGTTAAAACAAACTCACACTATTGTGAGGTTAAAGTTACTTCAACAGTTCATCGTGATATCGTGACTTATTGCCGTACTTGACGCTCTGCAGCTCAAAAAATTTACTCGTCCCCTTCTTTGGGTTACTCATTGGTGATGTCCACAGGGCTGAAGATGTTCGTTTATTATAACGTGTGCGATTCCTTGCAAAAATTTTGTTCAGCATAGGTGTTCGTACTGGTCCAAAATATGCATCAGCATCAATGGACGGTTGCACAACTTGTTTCTGTAACGCATTTTGCAGTCGTTCTCCTGAAATTAAAAGCAGCACTTATTTGCTAATATCATATTTTCTCGTTATTGTCATTTCTTCTATTCTACAACTATTTGAATTAACTAATAAATGCAGACATATAGGAAAACTTCTTTCATATGGCTCAACATTTCTTTCGATTTGCAGGTGGCAATGCCACATTTCGGAAATAGAAATTAACACTGACCTTGCGCCCAAAGAGGAATCGGTTTTCGTGGATTCTCTTCATCATCTGTTTCATCATTTGACGAAATGCTCTCTACATCATAGTTATTACCAATATCATCCAATGTTTCGTTTTCTGACACATTTAAGCTAAAATGCAATAAGAATAACAACTCTTTAGAAATTCACAAAATTTTGTGTATTGAAAATATGTACCAAGATGCTTTCAGAACTAAACATCTTTTAAGTATCTAGGAGCTCAATACCAAGCAAAAATAACCTTTTATCAAAAGTCTGATTATTTATACTACTTGTCTCGGCAGTGAGGATGTCAACTTCCATGACCTGTGAAACTTCATCCACATTTTCCTTTTCATTGATCTCCGAACTTTCAACTATAGGTGAATGCAACACAATATCAGGACTAACATCACAGTTTCGCAAAGATCCCAATATTTCTTGTTCGATTACTGCAGTAGTTTCGTTTGAATCACTATTCACATATATAGTGTTTTGTGAATTTCCTTTATCTTCAGAAATTCTTTTTTCGTCACTTTCAGGACATTCAGTATGAATATGAACATCAACTGGTTCCTCACTCAGCACTTTTTCTAGCATGTCGGTCCTGATGGAATGTCTATCAGTGTTATCTGTTTCACTGCATTCTACCGATTCCATTTTTTGTCTTTTATTCTGGATATCGATATCCTGTTTGATGCTATCGACATAGTTCCGTTTTCCTTGCAACTGCAGGTTTTCCTGAAAAACAACAGTTGGAAATTTCAGCAAAATTCCTCTTAAAATAAAACTATTTTGATAATATAAGACAAACCTGTGTATCGTTTGTCATCTTTCTTTGTGATGCGCTCTTTGATACAGAAATATCTTGTGAAGATTTCGCACGAACGAGTGGTTTTTGTATGCGATTGTAATAGGCTCTATAATACTTGTTTCTAATTTATTACTATTCAATTTCCATGCGACATTTTTCCTGGTTTAGGAAGAAAATTTTTCCACTTGCTCACGTAAGCTTCTCTCCACACACTCAAACTTTGAAATAATTATTAATCATTATAACAGAACCTAGTACGACAGGGTGATTTTGAGATAGCTCTTTGCGGCACACGTTGTTTTTGCCTCAGTTCTTCGATTTGTTGTTCGCGCATTTTTATTATCCGAAGCTTCTCGAGCGCTTCCTCTTCTTTCTTTTTATTATTCATTTTCACGCGTAACGCCCGTTCCTCACGATCTCTGAATTTCAATTAGCATTTCAAAAGCAAGTTTGATTCAAAACTTCTTAGCATTTCACAAATTCATTTCCTTAGTGATGACTTCTTTACCGAATGCTAAGTCCACTGTGGACGAAATATTACAGAATTTCTTAAAAAACGTCAATAAACAAATTTAGCTAAAATTTAGAATCGACAATATGGTAACTCTATGTAATCAAATAATAATCGACCTCCTTGCACGTTCTGCCTTTTCTTTCATCAGTTCCTCTTTGTTTTTGATTACATTATTTGTTCTTTTCTCCATTTTACGTATTACTTCAGATCTCTTGAATGTTGGCTGTAAAGAAAACTTATGCAATGGAAAACTTTGAATATATTATCTTTCAAGACATTCTAAGCACAGCTGCTTCCTGGTTAAAAGGCCTACACAATGAGATGATTTTGATCTACTGTGATCTTATTTACACCTTAATTTGTTACCACGAACTAGATACATCTAAAATTGAAACCAGATTAATTTGACATGCTATAAAAATGAAGCTGACTTGCTGAATAATCGCTTTTGGGGTAATTGTAATGTTCTTATCAGCCATTTTTGGGGTGACAGCAGTTCTTTGAACAGTCGCTTTTGGAGTAACTGTAATTTTTCGAGCAGTGGCTTCCGAATTAACCAGAGTTTTCTGTGTGGTGATTTTCGGAGTCATTCCATTTCTAAGAGGTGTCCTGGAAAATACTCACCATCCTTTCATAAAAACTATACCCACTAAAGCAAAATCGTGATCCAAACAGAAAACCGAACTCCTTACCGCATTGCTGTGTTATTTGAAGAAGTTGTAACTGAAGGATACTTATTAACCTGAAAAACGTATGTCTCATTAGGAAAAGCAGAACTTAAGTGCATAATAATATTTAACCAAGCATGTGACTGCAACCTTAATGGGTGTCTGTTGTTTTGGGACATATTGTCTAGGAGCGGGTACAGGCGGTACTGGTATTTTCCG